AAGGATCTACTTTGCCAGTGCTAAGCATAGCATCTGCTCGGGCCCACAGCTCCTAAGCTGGAGCACTGCATCTCTGAGGACTTTCAACACTGCCATTGTCTTCTCTGCTGAATCCAGAACCAGACACATCTGGATGTGCCCTCTGGTTTCTCGTCCAAAAAGAACTGGATTCCCAACCTTGGATCCCCAGATCTTCTTGGACCAAAACTCCCAGAAGCTTTCATCGTTAACTGTGCTGGCCAAGATTTCTGGGTGCTGTAGTCCAAGAACATCTGGGGACCCACAGTTGTAAACCACTAGTCTAGGCCCTCATCCCATGAGAAGCCCTAGAAAAATATCTGTGAAAATTCTCAGTCATCCAGGTGAGGTGATCTGGAAGCTGAGTCTTGGAACTGGACTTCTTTCTTATGAGGTTGAAACATTTCACTACTCGTCCAAGTAGCTTCCTCGGTCTGAGGAGAGTTGGTAGGAGACCCTGGAGAGATCCTCCATGTTGTTTTCACTCCCCCCTGATCTGAATAGGTTCATTAGATATATCCGGGGTCTTCTCAGACTAAAGAATCTACTTGGATGAGTAGCAAAATGCTTCAGCCTAATAAGAAAGAAGTCCAGTTTCCACGACTCAACGTCCGGAAGCCCTAGAGATCTTCTCCCGAGCTTCAGGTGAGACTGAGCACCTCAACTGACTCCCTTTGAATTACTACAGTATTACAGGTCCAGCTCCTGGCCTAAGAATCATGGCCCCTTTGTCAAGCTTCAAATCTAACTAAATTAACTATCCCCCAACGTAAGATCTGGAGCTGTCCGTCCAAACTGTCGGGTCATTCTGAGAGCATGCCATTGTGTGGAGAAGGACAATGGCCTTATCCCATTTCCTCACGCTCTCCCAGGCCAGCATCCCATTAAAAGAAAAAATGAAAATAAAATCTCCTCTCTACTCAGGACAGGATGGCTTGTCTTTCCTCAACCACCGCAGGGAACATGCTGTGCCAGCGTTCCCAAGGAGGGGAGCTGGCACGATGCCCGGCCCGAGGAACGGAAAGTCTCATGTTGCAGTTCATTTCAGTCGTTGACACACTCACCGGTTCAGATTGAGAGAGAGAGAGAGATTATTTGTTGATGGGAACAGGGTAGGTAAGCAGGCCACTCCTCTGTGGCTCCAACGCCAGGTCCAGAGGGCCTCCTGAGAAGTAGCCCCCCGCCTACCCTGCCCAAAACACATGGATTTCATCTGATCTGAGGAGGTACACAAGACCCACGATGTGGATGGACTCCAGAGAGCCAGAGTTGCCAGCCAGAGTTGGCAATACCAGAACTGCAGGACGAACATTTCATTTCGATATTTGTTTTTGAAAAATCCGCGAAAATTCGCTGATCGTATATTCGGGAACAGAAAGACGTGTAGGCTTAAAAAACGACACCTGAACGCAGGAGCAAGCAAAACTGGACAGGCGAACCCATCCCAAACAGGGGACAGACGTGCCCCCACCCCCTCGATCAATCCTTTGAGACACAAATTGTTTCTCCTGCTGCAGATATCAAACGGTCTTGGGCCAGCCCTGCTCAAACACGGCCAGCTGCTTTGTTCTCCGTAAATATGCCCCTGGAACGCAGCAAGATTGGAGCGTTTTTGCAACACTAACACAAACACACAATTGTTTGCCTTTATTTAATTTTGGGAACTCATGGAAGTGAAGGGTGGGGAGGGAGACCCAGGCAATGAAAACAAAAATGGTTGCAAACATGGATGGGACAGCTTTGCATCTGTCTTGTGTCTCTTTTATCTATTATTTTCTCTACACGGTGTGCACCTTCACGTGCACCCGGACAGAGGGAACAAAGTGTCCTTGAGATGTACGCTGCTGGTCTCCTCAGATGACTCTTCAGGGAGAGAGAAAGGGAAGACCCATTCTAAACTTTGCAAAGCAAAAGCAGATATTTTCGAGGGCTCTTTGGTGTTGCATGGAACCTCCCCTTTTCCTATCTCTCTGGATCCTTCCTTTAGGGGATTGCTTCAAGCAAAAAACCAACAACCCAGACGGTTGGGCAGACGGAAGGGGACGAAAACTTGCTTCAAGCAAAAAACAACCACCCAGATTTGAGTGCCCGCAAGATGTCCCTTGCACAGGACTTAAAGCAGCAAAGGATACCGAGAAAGCTAGAGGAAAGTCCCAAGTTGGATTCTTTCCTAGTTCTACCTTGAGACAAGAGAGGATTAAGCAGGGCTGAACCTGCTTCAGGATTCCCAGTGAGATCCAAGATTGGTGTCCAGATGTGGTCAACTTCTGGTCATGACCCCAACGGTTGGGCAGACGGAAGGGGACGAAAACGTGCTCTCAGGCCTCCCAACCCCAAAAGGCTTAGGGCTTTCTGAGTTAATAACGAACTCACAGACCGGTTACGGCTGCAAATTGGCAGCCACCGCTCCCAGGATTAGCTACTCTCAGTGTTTGGGGTTGGTTCCCAATACTTGAAAAATACAAGGTTGTAGAAAAGTCCCCACTTCCAGCCCATAGTTTAATTTCAGCTAGTAAAATGCGCCTCTGGAAGGGAATTCCCTCAAGGTTTGACACTGCTGACGAATAATGTATTCCCCAAAACAAGGAAGAGAGCAAATTGGCTTCTAATGGTTGAAAAGTCGTGTGCTGTCTCAAGGGTGACCTAGAACCTTTGGCACACCCGGAACCTATTTTTTCACATCTCCCTCTCAGCAAATGCGAATAGCCACTCCTTCTTTGATGGAGAAATCTCTCCTGCTTCTGGATCTTCCCACAACTCCTCCAAACATTTTAATTTCTTGTTGTTGTTGCTACTGTTCTTATTCAGGAAACCCACACATTCCCCTTATGAAAATCCTTTGCTATTTACAGCAGAACCGTGGGAAATTTAAGCAGGTTTTTCTTTTCTTTTCTTTGAGAGGGCTGGCATGTACGTTCAGAGTAGGCCCGTAGGATCTTTGATCCACGATGGATAACCAAGGCTGTGATCCTACACGGAAACAACTTGCCTTGTGGACAGTCCAATGGGAGTTATTTCCTTGTGATCACACGATGCACAAAAGATTGTGAACATGCCCAGCCCTAATCTGTGACCAAGGTAGACCTTTTTTGGGGTGTTGGTGGCAGACACA